TGTCATCTAAATCTACAAAGAACTCCACTAAATAAGCACGCCTACAGGTAGAATGAAATCCTGCTGAATATGGTGACAAGTTTTAGAAGAGTTAAAGTAACAAACAGTTACAGCATGTTACTTTTGTCAGAATGGATACATTAAAAAAGTTTCCTTCTATTTGTAAAACTTCCATGTATTTTAAAAGCATGTCAAGCTACAGCAAACAAGTTGAATGCTGCTGTATCTTGTAATTAAAAGAAAATTATTACTCTCTGTAGTTAAGTGCAAAAGTCATAAGAATTATACTTCATACACAAATGAAAAAGAAAAATACAGACAGAAACATTTTCAAGACTGACTATAGCACCTGCCTTTGGTAGTCCATCAGAGATGCCTAAGCCCCCCAGAGCAAAGACAGGAGGTTACTCTCACTGCCAGAGTTAACTTGAATGAGTTAAGCATTTGTATTACCTCTTAGGACACAGGCTTCATTCAGAACCTGTTACCTCAAAGGAAGCTGAGATTCATATTGATGTCAACTACAGTTACTGCTGGCCAAAGATTATAAAGTCTAGATCATAGGGATCCAAACTGGAAGTCAAGCAAAATCAGAGTGCCAGTAGTTTATGACTAAGTGATCCACCCATAAACTATGGTTTCCCATAAACCTACAAACCACGACAAGGATGGGGAACCAATGGGGCTGGTATTGTTCAGGTTATTTCTTCAAGTCTGTCACCAATTTTTCCCCATTATTTCTGACAACACCACAATACACTCCTGTGTAACCCTCCAAATATGTTGGAAGGGCAGGCACCCCTCAGCAGAGCAAGGCTGAGACTCAGAAAAGTATTTAAATCTACAGAAATCAAGGAATAAACATCTAGGAGTTTCTGTGGTTTCTGGATCAAACCCTGAGTGAGTAGTGAAATGACAAGTAGCAGGACCTTGTCTAGTCTTCTGATAGCAGAATGGTAGAGTTCTACCATCTCAGCCCATCTACTCTATTATAAATATACAAAATGAACATTCAAACCATAATCATTTTTAAATGGTGGTAACAACACTTGTTTGCCAGAGGTGAACAAAACTTCTGACTGCACAATTATTCATCTCCACATATTTCACTCCAAGGAATGTAAGGAAAGATATGTACTACTCAACATACATTCAGACTATTGCAAAGCACACAACCAAAATATAATCTAAAAGAGATTAATTCCTGCTGAGGATGTTGCCTCTTTCTAGTGACTGCAATTTGCCACATAAGGAAGTATATTTTTGATGATCCTAAATCAAGCTTCCAATGGGGAAGATTTTAAAATATTCTTGTGTTGTAACAAAATGTTCCCACTGGTGTTGTAATGAAAGAAAGAGAGAGAGAAAAAAACCCATCTCCTGGCAGGAAATTAATTATTGAGCATTCCACTGCTTGATGATGCGCTCCTACATTCTGCGCAGGCTTTCCATTTTTCTCTCTCAGTATGTGGAGAAATTCACTATGGAGAATGCACAAACAGAACAAAGAGCACAAGAGGATCAGTTTATTGAATGCATTTAGAAACTGAACAGACCTGGAGAGAGGAACTTGGTTTGTGCATCACCATACCTGGCATTTGTTCCCTCTTTACATTCCTCTCCTCTCTTCTCCATTAGATTGTTGCTTCTGCTTCTGTTCTCTGAAATCACCTCTGTCGAGAACGGATGCGCCTGGCTTTTAGCATCAGTTACCTGCAACTGTTTTGAACTGTCACTTCCTTTATTTAAAAAATAAAATGGAAAATCTCATATCTTGATGGAAAGGGAAAATAGAAGCCCACCATTATGCACCTATGTCCAAATAGCGAGATGTAATTCCATTTTTAAAATCATCTTTCCTCCCCCCCCATGTCCAGCCCATTTAGTAAATTTCATCCCCTGCTGCCAGTTTTAGTCTCACTGTGAAAAAACTGAAAAACCTACGCAGGCCATAATTTCACCCATTAGTTACATGACAAAACATACAGTCCCTGAGGCTACTTTTGCACCCAGCACATGCACCTAGAACAACTTCTCAATTTGGTGGGATCATGCCACTGCAAAAGCATCTCCAGAAGGGCAGACACTTCCCAGTAACCAGCACCTTGGATCCTTCCTGAATGTGGAACTACCAAACTAGAGAAGGAAGATGCAACAGACTGAAACAGCATATGTCATCTTCAAATAGTATTATACATCAGCAGTGCTCTATAGCTTAGCTAAGGCATAATGAAGAACTGTTCAAAAGAAATGACCAATTTTTGCTTTTAAAAAAGGAGGTAGAAAGGTTATGGAAAACTACTACAGCAGATGGCTGTATGATTCCTGCAGAAACTTTAACACCAGCTAGGCTGCTCAGGACCCTTTCTCATGGTCATCACCATTTGGGCTTTTCCATCCTGCTGGGTAGGATGGCTTAGACTGTACTGCCTCTATCTGCCTTGCAGACCTCACATTTGTCTGGCTCTGTGCATCAGCAGCAGAAGTCTCCATAGCTACACACATATTCAGTGTTTTCATGTGTTGTTCATAATTGCAAATATTTAGCTGCTGCCTCCCATCCTCTTCTTACTCCTCCTGGGTCTATATCAATATAATGGGTTCCCCAGAGACCAGGAAGCACCTCACATATGCAGAATGTCCCACTGAATGGGAGCATTCTGGAATAAGACAAACCATCCACTCCATAGCACCTACTCTAAACATAGCTGGTCATGCAAGAGAGTGCTGCAGGAGCTGGAGATGCAGCAGCAAAGGACCCTCACTGCATGAGGTCCTTCGTGTGGTCCTGGGAAGCAGGGCCCTGCAGGAGCTCTGACGGTGCTGACGGAAACTCTGCATTGCGTTCACCCAGTTTTTCATCCCAGACTCTTGACTTTTTAGCACATCCAGGCTGTTATTGATTCTGCAACTGATAGGGAGTGATACTAGCAGTGATTCGGATTGCATTGTTTTGAGAGGAGGGAATGAATTTTTAATTATAAAGCAGGAGCAAGTTAAATTACTACATACAAACATGGAGCATATGCTGCCATTTTACAAGAAACTGTTCTGAAGAGAAGCACCATGCTCTGCCACCAAGCTCCCAAGCGACAAAAATCACACTCTCACGAGTATCAGACTCACCATCTGTAAAATGTTTTTCATCTCCAGAAGATAATGTGAGAACTATGTGTTACAAATTATACATTTTGTGACAGATATTAGCACTTGCTTTGGAGCAGCACCTTAGAACAAGTGCTTTTTCTCCCCTGTAAGAGCTCACATGAGGCATAAAACTTCTTAAAACCCTATTTAGCAGTGCAACTCATATATCTCTCAGAATTTCTCTTGTATGGTAAGAAGGGAACAGGAGGGTTTTTTCATGAACATAATGTCATTCAAAGGAATTTGCTCTGTAGGATGACATTCTCCTACAGGACTACAGGAATTTTTGATAAGGCTGTGTACATCTGTATAAATGAGTTTTAAGTTCCAGAAAGCGAAATTACTTTTAACTCCTTCTTCTACACATGACTGAGAGGCAAAGCCAAAAACCTATTACTCTTTTTAAAACCAGATTACTTTTGTATTCCTTTTCAGAAAATGTCCATGAATTAATGATTAAATCTGCTACAGTTTTGTGCAATAAGAGATCAGCCATGCTAACACAGAGAATAGAAAGAGACTGAGCCAAGAGTCAGAAATGTAGAATTACACTGTAATGAGAGACTGTCAAAATCCAAGGGGAGATCAACCTGGAATCAACAGCTCTTGCTGTACTCAAAATCTGAATTTCAGAGGTTAGGATGATGCAGGTCAAAATGCTGTGGAGTGACCCCATCAGCAGCTAATGGTATTAATACAACATCAGAGCTTAAAGAATGGCTAATTTGACTCTCTTCTGATAAATTATACATCTTCTATAATCAATCCAAACCAAAACTAATTTCCAGCAACTGCACTTCTCTGACAGTAGACAGTGCCTTGATATAATTATGCATAGACAAGAAGAGATAATGATCTCTGATTTAAGTCTATTATTTTTATGGAACATAAAGACACATTGCAGTAATTTGTGAGATATAGATTAAGATTGGTATGTTACATTAAACAAATTGTTCTCCCATAAACCACTGCTGCTTTTTCCTCTTCCATCGATTCTTGCTGTTCTTGACAATCACGACGAGTTACCTAGTGAGGGGCAAACATAACTTTGGAGGAACTACTACTACGCTGACACCGATCTACCTTCAGACTTGGGTATTTGCATCCCTTCCGCCTGCAAAGCCTGTGGCAGAATAGAAGAGCATCTCGTAGATGATTTATCCAAAAGCTCTGGCCATGTTTATTCAACAGCAGCTTTTCAGAAGATACATTAAATAGAGTCCTCTGATAGCCATCTGCTTCCGCTCAAATCGCGCTGGTCCAGACCCGGAGCCGTGCCCTGACCGCGGCCGAGTGACCCCGGATCTCCAGGTCGGGGCGGCGGGAGGGCGCCTCTGCCCGGCCCCGCAGGGACCCCGCACCGAGGCTCCCGTTACCCACAGTGGCACCGTGAGCCCCGCACCGCCCGGCCGGACAGGTCCCCCCGGCCGGGAGCGACCCGAGCCGAGCTGGAGCCCGCAGCCCCCTCCCCGACGGCGCTCGGGGGCGGCTGTGGGTGGCAGCGCCGCCCGAGGGGAACACGGGCTGAGCCGCCTCCGCCGCCGCAGCATCCCCAGTGCCCGCGGAGCCCCCGCGCCCCGTCCCTGCCCCGGGCCCGGCGCCGCTCGCCCCAGCGCCGGGACTCCCCGCGGCCGGACGGGCCGGCGCCGCACTCGGGGGAAACTTTGGCCCCGCCGACCTCCTCCTCCGGCCCCGCGCCCGCGCCGCCCCCGCTCCGCGGAGCCGGGGGAGCCCGAGCAGGGCGGCCCGGGGGGCGGGCGGGGGAGGCAAGAGCGGCGCGGGCAGCAGCTGGGGCAGGTGAGCGGGGCGGCGCGGGGGCAGAGGGAGGGGTTTCTGCGGGGGTGTTGGTTTACCTTGGAGGTTCTGCACTCGGATGTCGCTGATGTGCCCGATGAGCTCCTCGCGCTGGAACCAGTCCCACTCCTGCCCGGCCATGGGGACGCGGGGCCGGGGGCGAAGGGGGCGGCGAGAGCCGCCGCCACCGCAACCGCCGCCTCCACCGGCACCGACGGCGGGCGCGGAGCGGAGCGGGCGGGGGGGCGGCCCCTCTCCGCGCCGGCTGCGCCCCGCCCCGCGTCCCTCCCTCCGCTCCCGCCGCACCTCCCTCCCTCCCTCCGCCCGCCCGGCCGGCCGGGAGCGCCGGAGCGCTGGCGCGGGGCGGAGCGGGGCGGGGGTCCGGCAGTGCCCCCCGCGGGCATCGCCCCGCCCGCCGCCCCTTCCTTCCCGCAACAGCGGAGGCCGCGCCCGTACATCGCCTCCGCGCCGCCCCCCCACCGGCCGCCCCCTCGGTCGGGAACCCCGCACACAGAGCGGCTGGTGCGCGGTCCCGGGGGGCTGCGAACAACGCCGAGCGCGTGTCCTGCCGTGCCTGCTGACTGGAGAAGGGTCGTCCCTAGAATAATTGTCATGTAGCCACGGCAGCGATGGAAGAACGAAAGTATGCGCAGCAAAGGGGTTTTCCTCGTGGGGATTAAATCAGTGCCATTATACATTAAAAACATTTATACCTGCATACTGATTTAGCTTGCTCGTGCTAGTCCGTCTGGGCTGTCAAATTTCCTTTGAGGTGAATTTTCACATTGGATGTCTTCATTTACACCTTTTTTCATCAAACTTGGACAGTAATTGTTACCAAGGCTCTGCAGTGTCACTAAGAGCTGTTCTCTACAAACCTGGTGAACAGCATGAACATTTCCTTTGCATACGAGGCGTTTCATTACAATATACCACTATTTGTACTTACGTGCCTGTTTTCAAACCATGGCGACTGTATAATGTAAACAACAAACTTTGACAGGATCTAGTTAGACCAGTATAGCATCAAGAGTTAGACTAGCAGAACACACAAGCCGAGATCTACAAAGTTAAATATAAACAAACTGGGATCTAGAAATTGTGGCTCTTTCAAGTTGGAAGTGTTTATGTGATCCCAAGCAAACACTTATTCCACACAACCAGTTGTTTCACCCAGCTCAGGAATGCACTGCTCTTCCCACAGTCTGCTCTGGTGATTTCTCTATTACTACTCAAAATCAGATGGAGAGGGTAAGAAGGCAAAGTCATCCCTTTAACATCTAATAGGGATTCGTCACCACTATAACATGCAGCAGTCAGCTATCCTAAAATGCGATCTCCAAGAGTGGAGCAGTTTTCAGCTGGAAAGTTTTGCATAGGTGTAAGGACAAATGGATGCCATGACAAAGAGTTTATAAACCTGACTGCAAGGAGCAGAAAAAACAGCTTATGAAAAAGAAAAAACATCTCAACTCAGATCTGCAGAAATCACATCAATGCTTTGACTTCATTTTGCACTGGGAGGACCTGTTTGTTCCAGGAGCTGTCTGAGTGGGCTGAATGCATCAGTACCACATTTAGAGGTGGAGCTGGAAACTGAGCCAGTGTGGCTGTGGGAAAAACAGGCAAATGACTTCACAGCATCAGTGAAATAGTCTGCAAGAGGTGGCTGGAGGTTCCCAATCCTCACTGCAGCTCGAAGCAGGACTACTGGTAGTGCCACATGGGGGACAGCTGAGGCTTTGTCCCATTGTGTGTGGGCACCCTCCAGGAGCTGGAGTGTCATGAGCTCTCTAGTGAGCCTGTCCCAGTCTGCACTGGCCTGCTAGTGAGACCTCCCAGTGGCCATTTGCTCTGGTCAACATGCCATCTGGAGAAAGCAGTATGACATGAGAGGAAGGTAAATGAATGAGGAATAACAAACCAGTCTGCAATCTTCAGCAGCAGACTCCACCACTTCTCTGGGTGCCCTGTTCCAATGCTTGACCATCCTTTCAGTAAAGACTTTTTTCCTAATATCCAATCTAAACCTCCCCTGGAACAGTTTGAGAGTATTTCCTCTTGTCCTATCACTTGTTGCTTGTGAAAAGAGAATGACCCCCACCTGGCTACAACTTCCTTTCAAGTAGTTGTAGAGAGCGATAAGGTCTCCCCTTAGCTGCCTTTTCTCCAGGCTAAATACCCCCAGCTCCCTCAGCCACTCCTCATATGATTTGTGCTCCAGACCCTTCACCAGCTCCGTTGCCCTCCTCTGGATACACTCCAACACCTCAATGTCTTTCTTACAGTGAAGGCCACAAAACTGAACAGGATTCCAGGTGCAGCCACAGCAGTACCAAGTACAGGAAGATGGTCACTGCCCTGGTCCTGTTGACCACACCATTTCTGCTGCAACTCCTCACTGCCAGCCCCACCTGGGGTGTGATGTTGCAGCTGTGAATCATTGTTCTTGCGTATTTTCCTGGAATTAATTACTGCCTTCACCCTCCTTGCTATCCTCACGCAAGAGCTGCCCAGCTCCACTGTCATGGTGGCTGAGGGTGCAGCCCATGCCACTGACATATCCAAGCCTGCCAGGTGGCTGCATTTGACCTGCACAGCCTGGGTCTCAGAGTCAGGCTGGGTTTAAGATGTAAATGATTAACAGTGTGGGCACACGGAATTTATAACTTCCGCTTAGAGAGAGGAGAAGGGCATTAAACCTTTCTTACCTGGGAAAGCACCTGCTCTGTGCTGCCTTGCCCAAGTTGGTGTGGTCCAGCAGCAGCACAGGCTGGGGCTGCCTGCTCTTCCTGCACCAATGGAGGCAAGACTGTCAGCACAGCAGCCACCCCTTCTCCTGTCAGAGGGTCAGGCCGGACCTCAGCAGGGGGTTCAGGTCCATCTGCCAGGTCCGACCACTCTAGTTTCTAGCCCCACACATCACCATAAGCTGCAATGACCTCATCTTAATATACTGGGCTGCAAGCTGCTGTGAATGAAAGCCCTGGTCCAGTTTCACTTAGCAGGTGTGCATCTCTGTCCAGGGAGGCAGCAGCCACATCACCTGCGTTTGTCAATCCGAGGCTTTCAGGTGTCTCTTTAGCACCTTCACCAAACCAACTTTGTGGTTAGCAGAAGGCCTCATAGGTAGAACCTCCTCCTAGATAATTGTAAAAAACATTGCCATATATGCAGAACCAAGTGTTCCAAAATGGAAATGTAAGCCTCTAAAATTGTAAGGACATTAAAAAATTGTGAGATCCAAAAGGGCATCCTTTATAAACATTTTTCTTTAATATTTTACATTCTTCCATGCAAGCTGGGGTCTATGAATCAGCTCAGCAAGAAAGTATGAAATCTGAGATTCTCACATAAAGCCAGAATGTTACTTGTCATAAAATCTGTAAATGCTTTTGGGAAATTATCTGTGAAAATGCTATATGCCTTCTAAGAAGTAACTGATTGTATACAGTGACGAGTAAAGAACTCTTAAACAAAGAGTGATTTCAGATTTTATTAACAAAGTCCACTTGCCTTTTGATGTTTAAGGACCATTCTATAACTGAAAAAGCAGGTTACATTTAATTAAGTCCCTTGGCTCAGACTTGTTACTTAGGGCAACACTGTAAACACTTGGCAGAGACTCTGAACTATAATAACAAGTTTATTAAAAGTAGAGTTTGGTCACATATGAGAAGGCAGGGAGTCTGATAGGAAGTTCATGGGGAACCTACCACTGTTCTGCATAACCTTCATCTTTTTTTTTTAGTGTATGCAGAATAAAGATGTTAAAAATCTTTTCGTTTCCCACCCTTTGCATATCTTACCTGTGAGTGATTTAATGAGTTGAATTCTCAGTTTGAGAATAAAATCTCTACTTGTAGATTGTGTGATAGTACGAACAAAACAGCCAAATCCTACAGCTCAGCTTTGTGACTGTCCAGATGGAGGGTGTCTAGTGGCTCCTGCTAAAATGGCAAGGGAAGGTATCTGACACAAAGGGCACTATTTCTGAAATTAAGGAAGATATTTATGCCATTGTAGCTAAATTGCTTTGCCTTTATAAACAGGGTTCCCCATATGAACACTCATTCCAGGAATGGGGGTTTTTTGGGCTTTGTTTAAACCAGTTCCAGACCAACGGTAACCAGAAAAAGATGTTGTCTATCTTGCAATGGGTACACTTGTGTGAAAATATTGTCTATATTTAACCCAAATCTCAGAGAAGTATAACTCCCTATCCCAAGCCATCCATGGCTCCTTTGGCCAAAGAGCTACAAAAACAGGTTCCCACTGATCCTTCCTAGATCTCTCTCTGCCTACATTCCCAAAACATCCTTGTTGAATGCCACAGGTCTGCAAGGTGCTTCTCTGCCCACGACAAATAGTGTTTTGGGAAAGGTCATGGGCATTTGGGTCCTGCCTGCACTACTGGCGTAGTCCTCAAGTCTTTGCATGATCTTAGGGCTTGTTAAAGATGCTACAGAGAAGCTGAGAATCTCAATAATTTTTAAATCCTTTTAGTCTTTCTGAAGTCTTCCAAAAAGAGGATGGAAAAATCTTCCCCTATAGCTGAATGAGAAAGAGGGAGGAAAGTTAAAGCCTGTAACACAGGAAAGTAATCCACATTCTTATTTAACTCTCATGTTTTACAGATACATTACAACCTGACCTGAGTGGTGACTCACTTTCAAGGCAATACTCATGCCACTATAGGTCTCATCAACACTTTATTTTCCTTGCTTAGCCCATATCTGAAACACCAAGAAGTGCCAGCCATGAGAAAAGACTCATTAGCTCTCCCAGATGAGTAGGTAAGTGAAGATTTCATTTCTATTACCCTGTCTGACAGCAGCCATCCCTTAGTCTGGCTCCTCTGCCCACACACATGTAAACAACGGGAGGGGTACCATGTAAAATAGACTTTCAAAGCAAAACACCGGAAAAATCAGGAGAAAAAAAGACAGTCTAATTCAACTAAATAAACAGGAGACACTCAGAAAAAGGTGCAAAAGGAATGAGAGATATTGTAATAAGAGGAGGAAGTAAGGCCATGTACAAAAAAACCCAAATAAGCAATGAAGTGTAAGTGCTTTATGACTTCTTTAAAGGCAAGAGAGAGTACTCTAAAATGTGTGTTCTACTTCTCCAGCCAAAGTTCGATAACAAGCAATGAATTAATTTATAAAATTTATAAAGTTTATATAATCAATAAAATGAACACCAGCTT